CTATGCAAGAAATACTTCGATAGTTAGTTTATTTTATTTATTTTTTTTTAAATTTAATTTTCTAGTCTAATGAAATATGAGTTAATTTTAGCCTGATGGGAGCTAAGCTCCATAGACTTTGTCTCTGTCTATAAAGCCTTCATTATTCCACATTATTGGATGATGATGAGCATGTCAATGAGCTGCGGCTGTCAATTAGCTGAGAATAGAACTGTGAACTCGCAATTTTTGAATGGGGCATGCAACAACAAAAAAAACAACGACAACAACTATTTTAATCGGCCCCGGCGGCGGCCCCCAATGATGACTGTTGTTATTGTTGTTGTTTCTGTTGTTGTTGACGCGTGCGCAGCGAAGTGAAACATTTGAAATGAGCGCCGCGAGGGCTGCGCAGTCAGTTGGCTGCTGGCAGCGCAGTCGCCGCGACCTGGTGACATGGCAGCAAGCGTGAAAAATAAATAAATAACAATAAAAGCCGAGGGGGGTATTAGGTGGGGATTCGTTGATGTTGCTGCTGCTGCGTCTACCAATGTTGAGCAAACAAAAACAAATAATAAAAAAAAAAAAAAACACAAAATAAAAAGAAAAACAAAAACTAACAGCAACATTATGTTGTATAAACTCAAAGCGCGCTTGCATACAATTAATCATCGCAATAGCGTCGACAGCGACGCCGACTGCGGCGCTGGCATCGCAGGTTTGCATAGGGCGCGCTCAACCCTCGCTCGACCAGCACTCAGTCGTTGTTAGAGTCGCAGTCGGAGCCGCAGTTGGAGTTAGTTTCGGATTTTGACCAGCAGCATTTGCGGCGACGGCGTCACGGCGCGCAGACGTCGGACGGTAGAAAAAAAAAAAAAACACAGAAAACGGAAACCGGAAAGCAGCGACAACGGCGAATATTAAAAAGCAATCAGCAAATTGCGACAGAACAAAACGTAAAACGCGCTCACGAAACGAACGTGAACCTGAACCCGAGCCCCGTTCCCGTTTCCCGTTTGCCGTTTCCCGAAAACCGGGCGAAAATTCTCGCTAACGCGCAGAGAACAAGAACACGAGCTCAGCAGCAACAACAGCAACAGCAACAGCAACAGCAACAACAACGACAACAGCAAGAGCAACCGCAACATCAGCTCGAACGGACAGCTCCATGCGAGCTGGTGTCCGAGTCGAGCTCGAGCACGAACATGCCCAGCGGCGGGCCACTGTCCGCGGGTCTCTCGGCGCGACCGGTCATCGTTTGGAACGGCGCTCAGTATACGGCGAGCAGCAGGGAATTGGAGCTGGAGCTGCTGCGACGTGATTACGGCTTGGATGAGCGCATGCTGGAGGCGACGCTGGTGCCGCGCTACAAACGCCACAAGCCGCAGGCGAGCGCCAAAAACGCGCACGTGCGTCATACGCGTGCACCGTGCAGCACGGCTCCGGCTGCCTCAGATTGGATACTGCGACAGGGCCATAGCAGCGTCTCCCAAATTAACTTTCATCCCTGGACGGAGCTGGGCGAACGCAAATTCTCGCACTTCGATCTGGTGCCGTGGCGGCGCACGCGCAGCGCCTTGGACTTGAGCTCGGTGGCGGATTACAGTGGGCGTGGCAGCGAGACGCTGCACGTGGCAGAGAAGACGCTGCGTGGCCTCGAGAAGCTCGAGCTGCGCCACAATCGCCGGCGCCTGCAGCGAGCCCGCTCCACGCAGCAGGGTCTGCGGCGCCAGGTGCGCGTGCGTCTCATATTCTCCATTGAGCTGCGGCACAAGCGCATGGAGCTGCTGCGGCAGACGGCGCTGCCGATGCGCGTCTTCGAGCAGCGGTTCGCGATCAGCGAGAACGAAAGCGCCGCCTACGAGCGCATCCTGCTGGACGCCAACGCGGGCGTCGAACAGCACGTCGGCTACTTCAGCAGGCGCTCGAACTCCCAGCCAGATGCTGTCCCGCAGGACGACGAGCAGCAGCAGCTGGTGGTTGACTTCGCCAGCGAAACTGAGGCCGAAGACCCAGAGGCTGAGACGCAATACGCAACGATAGCGAATGCACCGCAGGCCAAGCCACAGGAGCAGCCGCAGTCGAGCGAAAAGAAGCCAGCGGATCAGAGCATTTTTTTTTTTTTTACAGCCGAGGAAACAGCCAAAGCGCAGCCAGCTGCATTTTTTTTTTTTTTCAAGTGTCGCGATATTGCCATCAAATTGAGGTAAAATTTTTTTTTTTTTTGTTTCTTTTTTTTTGTTGTTTTTTTTTTTTTTTTTTTTTTTTTTTTTTTTTGATACTTTTTCGCCTTTTTTGTGAGTGTGAACTGCCAGTGAGAGCAAAAGTTAGTGACAATGCACTCAGAGATACCCTGTAACAAGTGTGAAGTGCGCGCGTGTGTAGCTATGGCTATAGTAGTGGATATAACTGTAGCTGTAGCTGTTAAGATAAGTCTCCTATTCATATTCGATTTACTCTAAAAGCTATGCAAGTTTAATTCAAGTTTTACGATCCTCATTCTAAAGTGATCTTTAAATTCATCCATCCATTTCTGATTCTGACAGACTGATTTTATGGATTCTTATAACTCGTATAAAGATCAGCTAGCTTGAGGCTGTTTCTATTCATTTTATTTAGTTTCTCTTCAGTTAATTTTTTGCTGCAGATCGTGGTAGAGCAGATCATAATAGTGTAGTTCATGATAGATCAGATAATGGCAGAACAGATAGGCCCAAGCATGGTAGAGTAGATCATTATGGCTCAGATTATGATAGCGCAGATCGTGGTAGAGTCGATCATAGTAGAGTAGCTCATAGTATAGTAGATAATAGTAGAGCAGATCATAGTGGAGCAGTTTATGATAGTTAAGATCATGATGAGCAGTTCGTGATAGATCCGATCATGGTAGTGCAGATCATGCTCGAGTAGATCATGGTAGAATGGCTCAGAGTAGAGCAGATTATGGTAGATCATAGCGGACCAGATCATGATAGATCTGATCATAGTAGAGCAGTTAATGATAGATTAGATTATGGTATATTAGATCATAGTAAAGCAGATCATAGTAGAGTAGATCATGGTAGAGCAGCTCATAGTAGAGTAGATAATAGTAGAGCAGATCATAGTGGAGCAATTTATGATAGTTAAGATCATGGTAGAGCAGCTCCGATCATGGTAATGCAGATCATGCTAGAGTAGATCATGGTAGAGCAGGTCATATTAAAGCAATTAATGATAGTTTAGATTATGGTATATTAGATCATGGTAGAGCAGATCATAGTAGAGGAGATATTGGTAGAGCAGATGATCGTGGAGCAGTTTATGATAGATAAGATCATGGTAGAGTAGCTCGTGATATATCCGATCATGGTCAGCTCAGCTCAGATGAGCTTGAAGTTGTGTCGATTGATTGCGGAATTTTTATTTTTATTTAGTTCATTTTTTGCAGCTGAGTCAGTAGATCAATCGATGAAAGTTGTCTTTATTTAATTTAATTTATTTGTTTCATATTTGACTTAAGTTTTATTTTATTCAGTTCTTGCAGCTGTCCTAGACTTTGTAGCGCATTTAGCTATAGATATAAAATATAGATTTATTTTTCACTATTTTCTCTATTTAATATTTGAAAAGAATAATTGCTAGATCTCTCACAGCTAGATCTCCTTGCTTCCATCAGCAATCACACTGTCAATCAGTTGCTTAATCTATGTTTAGTCTAGGGTATTCAAAGTGCTTTGCTCTTTTGCCTGTTTTCATTTAGCACAATAATAATTTGTAATGTTTTTCTTTTTGGGGTTTTGGGGATTTTCATTTGTTTTTCACATTTTCGTACATTTGGCTGACCAAGTGGCCCGCATTCTGTGTGACCGAATTGTGTTCTCAGCTGTTCACCTGCCGCTCAGGGGCCCCTGGTGGCACCTGCTACAAGCAATCGTCTCGTTTTGACAAACTAATCCAAATGTGTTGACGCAATAAAGTGAAAGAAAGTGGCTGGCTTGTGGCGTTCGTTTATATAGTTTCTTTCTGCGCTTAACTGACACACAACAACAACATCACTCTATTTGTTGTTGTTGTTGTTTTGCTGCCTCTCTCGTCGCTGCGCCCGCTCTCAATTAATTTGCTGCTTATGTGCGGAGTCAAGTTTACGACTTTTGCCCGAGTTTTGCTGCTGCCTGAGCTAGCGGAAGTGGCGCCCAATCCAAAGTGGGCTTGCCCATGGGGCAAGTGCTGTTGCAATGACTCAGCGGTTGCCCACCGGCTCGACTTAACTCGACCCCGTTAGCTTCCAGCAAATTGGCAAATTCATTTTGGATGTTTTCACAACTTTTGGCACATTTTCCGCAACTCTCTGAAAATGTGGCCCAAACTGTTGTGTGTTTACTGGCAGCAAGTTTGTGTCTTAAGTCTTTCGTTTGCAGCTGCAAAGGCTGCAACAGAAAAATGCAGCAAAAGCGCGCCAAGCGCACTTTAAAAGTATGCAAAGTTTTTTTTTTCTTTCACAAAGACAAACGCCTTGAGATGTTTCAGTTTAGATTGAGTATCTGTATATGTAGTTGTTGGTGATATTTATAGGGTTTATCAGAAAGTTAGGCTCTATATAATATAATCTAACTGTGTTGTTAAGGTACTATACTTGTATTGTACAGATTCAAGGATTAAAATAAACAATAATAAAAAATGCATAGAGCATGAATATACTTATGTATGAATATAAACATAATTTAAAATTTTTTTATATTGATATGTTATTATCGAACACGTTAAATGCTTATGCTCTTAAGCATATGTATAGTTTTTTTTTCGTATATTATAAAAGCTCAACTTAATTATTAATGAATTAAGACTGAAACGAATTTAAGTTTCGACTCGAGCTAATCTTTGTTTCAGTTTGTAGCTACAAATTGATTTTATTTTGGTTTTATTTTGTAAGGAAATATTTAAGGCTACAACTAAAAAAATAAACAAATAAATAAATAAATAAATATTCGTCCGCCTCAGTAAGTTCCTAGATATCCCATGTGACCTAAAGTAGCTTGTGCGAAAATTCGACCTTAGACACACTTTTCGGATCTAGAATGTACAAAATAGGAGGGTCCAGTCCTGTACTGAACTAATCTGCTTGACTTCAATGTACAGCTTCTTTCATTAAAATAAATAAATAAAATAAAATGCTGTGATAACACAATAGTATTTAAACAATTTAAAACAAATATTAAAAAAAATATAATTTATATGCAATATTCAAAATTTGTAATTATTTTATAAAAAAAAAATGAAGTAAATTGTTACTTTACCAACTTCAGTGCCTGAGATATAAAAAAAACTAAATTTAGTTGCTCATAAAAATAGTAGTGCAAAATGTTGCAAAAAAAAATTATATAAAAACACAATATTAAATACGAAAAAAAAAAAAAAAAAAAAAACAGCAATATAAATCATGAACACTAACGTATTATTTATTAGGTTTTTTTTTTTACAAACTAGAGTTTGTGAAAGAAAATTAACTATATTAAGTAAGCCCGTGACAATAGCAACAGTGCGAATGAGTTAATATTTAGTGCTCAAGAGACAAAATAATTTGGAAACACTTTGACGACAATAATATTAATTCATTTAAATGTTTCTTATTATTACATATTTACGAATATGAGAAAATTGAAATAAGTTTAGTATGTATTTTAATCAGCAATATTTTGATCTACTCCCTTGCAGAACTATCAATGACTATGCGCTCAACCCGAATCAGCACTTGAAGCACACGAACAACAGCCACAACTACAACATTAAGCTAAATAAGCTGCACAGCAGCAGCAGCAATATTAGTCACAGCACCAACAACAACAACAGCAACAACATCAACAACAACAACAGCCACAACAACAACAACAATATTAAGAGCAAAAGCAATCACAATCTGAGCAGAATGCATGCCCATCAGCTGGACTCGTACTTGGCGGGCATGCCCATCGGCCTGAACATGCCCGGGCCAATGCATCCGGGTTCGATTTCTGGCAACGAAAGACCCAACGGAGGCGCACTGGCATTGCATTATGCGGCGGCAAGGGGCTGCCTGGACTGCGTTCAGCTGCTGGTAGCCGCATCTGTAGACATTTGGTAAGTGAATCGCATGCAAATGCAGTTGGCCAATTTCGGTTAACTGGGCGAAGTATTAAAAGCAAAAGTCGCACACAAGCCGAGTCCGACTCCGCTCTAGCTGTTGATGGGGTGAAAGCTTTGTTCTTTATCGCGCTAAGCAGCAATTGGGATTGCGTTTGGCCGAGGCGTCGGGTAAAAGTCGGCCAGACTGTGGAGCTGCGCTTATTTAAATGATTGCGACAAACATAGACGCCAAAGCGGAATCAGAGCTATTGCAATGCACAGCTTCTCCCCACTTAAGTGACTGCCGGTGGTGCCGGTGGTGCTGTTGCTAATGCTGCTGTCGGCTTTGCCGTGATTTGCGGCTAATGCAATTTTATGGCATTCACTTGCCCCATTTCATTAGCGTATTTGCCAACGGTTGACATTCCCCCCCCTCCCCCCCTCGCTCTCTCTCACTCGCTCTCTGTGTTTTTCTACCCCTCTCACTCTACATCTGTTGGCCATAAACATGAAATTTTATACGCAAGCCTAGACAGATTTTTGCGTTCAACTAGATCTTCAAATTTTAATGTAAAAAGCAGTTGCATTAGCAGCTAATTAGACTGTGCTTTCTTATTGGAAAATGTATTAATATGGCTAGACCCTGACTATGCCATCCTTTTATATAAATATTATAATACATAATAGTAAATAATAAATAATGCCAAACTGATCAATCAATTTTATGTTGGCATCAGAAACAGCTTAGCTTAGCCGTCGCAAGTGTCTAAGGCGTTGACTAATGAATAAAGCCAGATTACAGCAGGATCATCAGAGATCGGTGATCGGCGATCGGTGCTCGATTGACTGACTGAAATTGTGATTGTCATCGATATGCCAGAAATTCTTTATTAGCCAGCTGAATCGCTCCTCATCTTTGAGCTTGCCGACAGCTGCTTGAGTGGCCTGATCGACTGACTGATCGATTGTGGGATTGGCACACACTCAGTCAGCGGCCAGGGCAATTAAATGTGTGGTGATTAGAGCCGAAGATCGTTGCTAATTAGAGCTGCAAACAATGGGGAGAACAAGACGCCATTAGAGGCAAGTGGAGCACATGCAATCGCTGTTGTATTGAATGCATGACCGATCAAGATCGCTTTCCAGCTCTTGGTGCCCACCTGTTGCTACTGCTGCTGCTCAACTTTGGTCAGCGATCACCCAAATACCGCCATGAAGCACGCGTTCTTAGCGTTGATTCATTAAAACCCGCCAAGGCTAGCTAGCCGGCCAGCTAGTCAGCCAGTCAGCCAGTCAGCCAGACCGCTTAGCTAGTTTTTCAGGTAAGCAGCTAGTCCAGCAGGCATCCAGGCGTGCTATTTATTTCTCTGCCATCGAACTGGATGCCAGCAGGAGAACCAGAGTGAGAGAGAGATTATTAAGTAGAGAAAGAGATAATGAGAGGGAGACAAGCACAAAGAACCGTTGCAACTAGTTGCCCATTGCAAGTGGAGCAGCTACACCAGGAGTCCAACTTGGCTTGGCCTCGTCTTTGGTCTGGTTTGGCCAGCTCTGACTCTCTGCTTGGAGCTCTGCTCTTGCAGATCTGCTGATCCAGCTGGTTTGGGGTCTTCTCTTTCAGAAGTCATATTTATTAAACACGCCAGTTCAATTGGCATGACAACTGACAAGCGGCACACATGATAGCAGGCGGCTCGGAGAACAGCAACAACAAGTGCTATAAATACCATTTCCACTGCGAGGTTTGCCCAACAAGTTGTTATAATGAACATAACATTGAGTAGAGGAACTCCTTTAGAATTTATGATGTAAAACATTGAAATGGAAAAGGGAAGTGAGAGTATGTGACAGACGTGTGAGAGAGAGAGAGAGAGAGATAGAGTCAGAGAGAGGAATAAAATGTGAGGGCGGGAAAGAGAAAGATCGATGGACACAGACAGAGGGATAGTTGGGGACAAAGAGACACAAAGTGAAAGATAGTTAAACTAAGAAAAGAGAGATTAACAGACTGAGAGCAATTAAGAGAGAGACAGACAATGAAACACTAAGAAAGCTAGAGATAGGAAGTGACCGCCTGAAAAAAGAGTGAGAGAGATACGGAGTGAGCGATAGTGTGCTATTAAACCTAATCGATACTTCTCCATCATTATCTAATCTAGTATTTGGATATCATCTAAAAATAAATCGTATAATAACTATAAGTTAGCTAATACAAAGCCCAAGCCGTCTGAATATACTATTAATATATATTATATTAATATATTTATTAAATATTTACCAATATTTGAAGGCACCATGCTATATCTATTAAGTTACCTAAAACTGTAATTAGCTCTAAGTTCAGTTCACCTTGATTGCGCTTCGATCTTGTGTGGCAACCCACGCTGGGGCCAATCGCATAAGAGACCATTGAATAATATCATATACTAAACATTTGATGATAGCTCTGGCTCTGGCTTTGGCTCTGGCTCTGTCTTGTGGCCAAGAAAACGCTTGTGGCAGAGCGGGTTTCTAAGCTTCTTGGCGGCTGTTGCCGTTGCCGTTGCCGTTGTGTGTTGCTGCTTCATCGTCTGTTGCTGTTGCTGCTGCTTGTTGCTGTTGCTGCTGCTGTTGCCGCTGCTGTCGTCGCTAACTGCTGCTGGTTGCTGGCCGCTGGCCGCGGTGTCTTCTATTCGCGTTTGGTTACTCGAAGCGAACGGTGCTTTCGTCTGGCATCAGCTGCAACTGTTCGTGGTCTACCGTGGCCGTCTGTGCTTTCCACTAGCGACGCTGTTACCGTTTGCCAAGCGCTGACCGATCGCACAACCGTTAGCAGCAACATCAAACAACAACAACACCTACAGCAACAGCAACAACATGCGACGCATAGACGAATTTGAATTTTGAGCAGTTTTTTTTTGTTTTTTGTTTTGTTTTTGTTTTGTTTTGTTTGCTTGTTTTGCTGTTGTTGTGTTGTGGCTTTGGTTAAGTGAAGTGTAGTTGCAGTTTAATGCTCAATGCAGTGTTTGTAGCGTTGCCGTGCGGTCACGCCCCTCATGCCACCCGCCCACTCGATGCCGTTGAAAGTACGCGCCGCGCCGCGCTGGTCAGCAAACAGCAACAACAACAACAGAAGCAACAGCAACAAACAAAATTTCGCGCTTCAAAGTGCTTCGAATGCAGTTAACGAATCGGAACGCGAATTAATTAACAGTTTCAGTGTACCAAAGAACTGCAAGCCACAACATCAACAACAACAACAACAACAACATCATCATCATCATCGGCAACGTACAAGAAGACACAGTAGCAACAACCTGTGTGCCACAAGCCGCAACCATGAAAAGGTTTTTTTTTCGTCAGTCACAATAATCAATTGGCCAAGCGCTGTGCAGCTGCCCCTCGAGTAGCCAAAAGCCGGAGCAACATACGGATCCGCATAGCAATTGTTTTTTTTGTTTTCCCTTTACATTTAGCTCTACCCTTCTTCTATATATTCTTTTTTTTATGTGATTCAAAACAATGTGTGTGTGTGTGTGTGTGTGGGTGTGTGTGTGCGCGGCAAATGGAGGCCAACACCCACAAAAAATCAGCGACAATGAAAATTTCAATGTGCTCGAATTCCAGTGGCAAAAATTGTGCATGGATTAAATGAAACGAACGCGCGATAAATTGCGAATAATACAAAATGTGTGGAAATAATAATATATAAACAATCTCGGACAACAAAAGTCGTGATGAGCTGAACAAAACGGAATTATACAAATATATATTTCATAAATATACAAAAAAAAAAAAAAAGCTATAGTGCAGTTGGGCGTGTCTATATAGAAGACTTAATCATGTCAAAGGGTAATCAGAACCTAATATATATGATATGAATGCTGTTTTGTTTGGCTTCAGGCACTGTGGATAAACGTAAAATTAGCAAATTCTTAACTCGAATTCTGTAATAATTTAATATGAGATTTTTGCAAGACATAGTAGCAAATTCATTTGCATTCGATTTATATATGGGATAGAATAGGTAAGAATGAAGAGGATGAAAATAATCTGATTTTTTTTTTCATTTATGATTTCTGAAATTGCAATGAAATAGTATGAAAATTTTTTTTTTAAATAATAAAATAATAGTTTTAAGAACGATCAATAAAAGGTTTTTTTTTTAGGTAGGCAAAAGAAATATAGAGTATGAAAAGAAATATAATTTTTTTTTTTATTTGGTTTATAAGAAATATAATATACATACATATATATATGATCAGATCAGATCTATGAGAGAAAAGGAAGAGAAAAGTATGATTGGCATGAAAAGTAGTAAAAATATGTATGTATGTACATATACATATGTGTTAATATATACAAAAATAATTAAATATAGAAAACTTTAATTAAATAATATTTTAAAGAAAATTTATAAAGATATATTGTATATATAGTATATGAACTGAAATATATATACATACATGTATACATATATACAGGCAAATCCGTTCTAGAATAGAATGTATAGAGTATATAAAATATACAGAAACGATTTTTTTTTTTTTTTTTTTTTTGTTAAATGTATCTTAAAGGAAATATCTTATGTAGCACATTAATTAGTAAATAATCAGTAAATACAAAACAAAGAACGTTTATAGGCATATTGCTGACAGGAAAACTACCTTCGAATTGAAGAGTCTGGCTATATACGTAAAACTTAATTATTTCATATTGCCAAAGATGATGAAAGAATAGAAAGTTGGTCAAATTAAAAAATTCGCAGACAAACAAACAGAGAGGCAGTCAGTCAGCTGCGAGCTCATCTATATGTGTATACCTATGCATATACATATATATATATTGAGAACCGACTAATCGATTTGAGAAATGTTTTCTTCTAACTACGCTCAGTTCTGTCAGCCGTTGGCGTATTTGTATTTGTGTCGAGAGTTGCTTTCGTTCGGCACGCAAATGTTCAATTAAATGCTAAATGCGCTCGAGATCTGTGGAGCTCTGTGGCATTCTCGGCTAACTGTCAACTGAGCTGGTAACGAGCCAGTCTCATCATAATTATCGGCCTTTCGAGACTTGCGTTTCAATTTATCTCCACTTGTGCGAGTTGCGATTAAAAATATTAAATACAAAAGAAATTACAAACAAATAATATATTTGAAAAGAAGAAGGAGAAGAAGTAGAAAAAAATGGTATAATTATTAAATTGCAATTACAAAATGAGCACAAGAAATTTGGATTACTTGAGATGTATGTACTCGCTGTTTACTGTATTTTCACCTACAAAGCCAGAAAGAAGCTGCCGAGGCGCAGAAGAAACACGCGACTGCCAAACGGACAGCCGAGGCGGGTGGGGAGGCTGGGCTGGCTAGGCGAGAGACGGGGGAAGGAGGAGGGGCCAGTTGAGCTGAATCTGATGTCTGCGACTATAAAATCTATATACATGTACATGAGAGCAGCAGCAGAGAAATAAGTGGAGAAAAAAGCACAACATGAAGATGAAAAATCAACTTTAATTGGTTTACAATTCATTTCTGTAGCGAAAAGCTGGAAAATGTAACAAGTCGCCAAGCCGCTCGAGAAGAAAGCAGCAGCCGCAGCAGCCGGAGCAGCGCCTGCTCCACTCTCAGCACTCGAGCTGAAGTTGAAGTGTCTGCTGTGCAATATCCATGAAGCGGCGGCGGACGCCGCTGAGCCGAGCTGAACTCAGTCGATTGCCTAAGGCAGCGCCGCCAACGTGAATTAGGGAAAGCACAGTGGGCATAACTATGCCATTAAGTGTGCAGACTTTGCTTATTTAATGAAATATTTGCTGATTAGTGTGCTGCTACCCTTTGGGTAACTTAGTCTAAACAGAAATTAATTAAGTATCTATGAAAGACGTCATTGGGGATAGACTGGATTATTGGCTATAACTCTCACAATTTAAATATAAAGAATAGACTTTGAGGGACTTGATGTCAAGACGCTGTTCAGTAAAAAAAAAAGATAGTGCTATCTGCCTCTTTCCCTAGCTTTTGAAATTTAAAAAAAAAAACATTTAGTGAAAACTGCCTAATAATTAGTATATATATTTTTCAAAAAAAATATGTGCTGGGAGTTTAAAAACATTTATAAATTAGGCTGGTGAAAAAAAATATATATATATTGATATGTACTATCTATGCATATATTTATATTTATGCATATTGTGGACTGTTTCATTCGAGCTCATTATTTTATTGGAGCTTCCTTTAAACTTGATATAGATTATAAATACAGATTTTTTATTTGATTAACCTTTCATGTTCATGGTATATGTATTTTTTTTTTTGGCATAAATTATATATTTGCTTTCAAGGCTTATTAAATTTTGCCAATATGTCCAATTTTGTTTATGATGTATATATTTTTTATATACTGTAAGATATAGTAAACTATATTGCTTATAGATTTTTCTGCATTTGAGATATTAGATATTTAAAATTATATAATAGTTCATTTAAAGTAATTTTGTATAATTATAGTTAGCCATCTCTAGTTGAAATGAGCAAGTTTATTTAACAAAATTTTAGTCTTTATTTCGCTACTCGACACACTGTGCTGTGGCTAATATCGCAGACAAATGGTAGCAATTGCGCTTTATAGCCAGCGGCTGCTGTAGTCGAGCAGAGAAGCGACGCGGAGAGAGCTCCGCCGCTTCGCCCGGGCGTAACATGGAGAGAAAAGTCTTTGCGTCTTTGGCGTATGATCTGCTCTTCATTCCATTTTTTTTGTGAGTAAATGTTTTTACTTGTTTTTGTTGTGCATTTGGCGCATTTAAGCGTTAATTTCACACCGAAAAAAAGAAGCTGAGCAGAAACAGCAGCAGCAGCAGCATCAGCATCAGCAGGGGCAAAAGCGAAACAAAACGCGCTAGAAGTTTGCTGGGGCAGCCAGCCAGACGCTGGCTCAATCGCGTGGCGTACCCGCTGAGAGTCAGTTGCACCTGTAGCATCCGTGGCAGTTGCAGTTGCAGTTGCAGATGCAGATTGAGATTGATGCGCCCGGCAACAACTGGCAAGCCAGCGACAGACAGTTTGACTTTCGGTTTCGAGTGACGGCTGCTGCAGCCAGCTAACGAGATTGATATACGAAATATGTATGAGGCCCGGGCTCCAAACTCGAAATGCAAATTAACGGAAGCCGAAAACAGTTAAAAGTCCAAACTCGAAAAAACGCAATGAAAAACAATCGAAACGAATACGAATCAAAGTGATTTTTCATTTAACCGTTTCAGCATTTTATTTATCTATCTACTTATTCATTTTGTTTTTTTTTTTGGTCTGTGTATGTGCGCGCGTCTAACGGTAACGGTATTGGGGAAAACTCCAACGAAAACCAGTTGATTCTGTTGTGATATGAACTATATTATCGCATAGGCGACGTGAAAGCGAAAGTCGCATAGGTAACAATAGCTGTGCGTAGGTAAGCAAAAGGCATTCATCAGCATTCTCAATATAGCACAACAATTGCACCACAACCACGCCTACACACACACACACACTTGTAATGCACTCGCAATGCAATTTTTCTCGCGTCGACACACACACACACCTCCATGCACAATGAATACTTGAAACACGCTCGCGTACACACACACACACCAAACGCCCACACCAAATGCCATCCCACCCACCCACACACACACACACACACACTTGGCACGTCCTGCTGCAATCCAACAAAAGACAAACAAAAAACTCCCCCACTCTGCAGCTACTTTTCGACCATCAACGTTAAGAAGGGCCTGCTGGGCCGTATGACCACAAGTCTGACCTCGTACCGCCGCAGCAAGCAGAAGAGCAAGTCCAACAATGACATACACACCATCATCTCCACGGAAGTGAACTGCGTTACGACTGCCATACTCAGTCACAGCAAGAGCAAGAGCAACAGCAGCAGCAGCAGTAGCAGCAGCAGCAGCGGCAGCGGCAGCCACCTCAACTGTCACGATCCTGATGCCGAGCCGGGGCCGGACACAGCGAACGCACACAGCTCCAACCAAAGTCCGGGCCAGAAGCACAGCGGCCATCCGGAGGACAGCAAGCTTGGTGAGAATCTGAGCAGTCTCAGCGAGCGCATGATGGAGGCGCACCAGCGCAAGGTCTCCGGCAACGGCGACTCCAATGACGACGAGGCCACGCCCATTCTAGTGGCGGGCGCTGGCCAGGGTCGCAAGGAGCAGAACAATCGACGCAGCGTCGTGAGGTGAGACAGCAGCAGCAACAGAGATGGCGGCAATGGCTGCGGGAATGAATCTGGCTAATTTAGTTAACATTCGGTTAACATAATAGAAAAAGTAACAGAAATTGTCTACAGGCTGTGACTTCTATAAATGAAATGTAAACATAGAAATTTCCTTACCTATTTGTGGGCCTCATCTTGATAACTGACATATAAATATATGTGGTTATCTGCTTAGATTATCAAGTGTTATAAACAGATTCTATAAATCGATTATCTGCTGGATTTTATGCAAATTACTGAAAATTCTTTATATCTCTAACTTTTTCATGAATGCGCAAGTTCGAACAGTTGTAATTGATGAGGATCGAACATGTTTTCCTCTAATATTGGTTGATATAGAATCATAATTAAGATCATATTTTCTTGTCCTGCCTGAGCCGATGTTGATTAGCTGTGGCTCAGTCAAAGTTTATATTTAGATCTACGTAGCCCCATTCTTGATGATGATATGCATTTGTGTTATCTTTAAAAGAATATCTAGATTAAAGTGCCTTAAAGCAAATAGCTTTATTTTGTCTGAGCCCAGATTAGGATAGTCTAGCAATAGAATAACAAGATGTCGTTTTTATACACTTTATATGATAGCTTAGCCTTTAGCAATAAGAAATTTGAACATGGTAGACTTATAGTAAGTGTCTACCATTCACTTTCATGAACCAATATATATGATATCTGTGATATTATGTATATGATTTATATGATATATTACCAGGAGATATATATCATATCATATTCATGCAATTGTCTATCAATTACCTATACCTACCTAAACCTAAATCTATATATATGATACATATATGGAAAATGATATTATATATACTATCATATGATATGATGTATATAACTATATTGTAAATTTATATATATAAATGACTTGTAGCTATAAATGTCTATCATTTACTATCGTGCTTCTAGAAGAATGAACGTGTATATATGATACATTTGTATATGTATGCTATATGATATATTATTATATATTATTTGCATATCATACTAAGTGAGCCTTTATGTATGATGTCTTTTATGTGATATATATACGATATATTTAACATAAGATATATGATGCATATATTTTATCGCAATATTTGTATAATCAGACTTGTAGTAAATGCCTATCATTCACTTTTGCGCATCTATCATCTAGCACAACAATGAAAAAGAGCTGTCAACTTGTTTGCTGTTGGCCGTTCGCAGTTTTCTTTTTCTTTTGTAGCTTTTTTGTCTTGTGTGTTGGCATTGATGATACTTTAATTTGTATCTACTATATCTATGTATAGCAGTCTCTCGATATGGCAGCCATTAGCCATTTTATATATGTATATGTATGTAGTTATTTCTTGCTGCTTGCGAAATCTTTGTCTGCAAGTGAATCCAGGGGCAGGAGGCAGCAGGCAGCAGGCGCGGGGGGTGCATGCCACATGGAGCTGGCTGTGTTGACTTTTTGCTCATTAGCCAACTGCAAACGAATTTGGCCTTAGCTAATTGAAACCAAACGCAGATAACATAGCTGCGATTCCTCTCATATTTATTTCGAGAGAGATACTGATCTAACTATATGCTATCTATATATCTGTCTTGCCCTGCAGCGCCAATACGCAAATGGACAATGATGTCACGCCCGTTTATCTGGCCGCCCAGGAGGGGCATTTGGAGGTGCTCAAGTTTCTGGTGCTTGAAGCTGGCGGCTCGCTCTATGTGCGCGCACGCGACGGAATGGCACCGATCCATGCCGCTTCACAAATGGGCTGCTTGGATTGCCTCAAATGGATGGTGAGTATACCAAAGCACACACACACACATATATACGCATTTGCTGAACTGTAGCAAAAATTTGCAATTGCCAAATGTGCCAAAAATGGGGCCAACAACAACAGCAACAACAACAACCAAATCTGAACTCGTTTGGTGCGCGCTAGGCGCATGGCCTTCAGCTGGTTAGCTGGTTCTTGTCCTGGTTTCGCTTTGCTCAACTAACGGTTCCCGGTTCTCCGACTCGTTTGTCGCCTGGCCTATGCAATTTATCAAACCGTTTAGCATTTGCCGCTAACCAGATTCCCACATCGGACCAGCAACAGTCAAACTCGAAGTCAAAGTCAAAGTCAAAGTCTTAAAAYTCTGTTCTTTTATTCTTTATATCCGCTGAGAATGCGAATTTATCCGTTGCAGCTTCTTCACTCTTCTCTCTTCGCTCTTTGACTCTTTTCTCCGCCAAGCGTGGGCTGTCTCTTTCTGTATTTCTTATAGATCCAACGACATAAACTGGACATCTCGCCAGGCCGACTTTGGGTGCCAGTTGAAAATCACCTTTCTAAATTGAGCTAAATAGTTTTGCATTACACACACACACACAGACACACTAAGGCGACCACTTTCCACATTCATGTGAGTTGAGTGGAGCTGAGCTTGGCTTGAGTTGTGTCCACAGAGCGAGTCAAGTCTAGTCGAGCCACACGACAACACGTCACAGCCACTGACAGTTCACAATGGATCCTTCTCTCTCTCTCTCTCAACGCCGAGGAAGGGCAACTTGGACAGCCTTTATGCTCTCTCTCTCTCTCTCGCTTCTTACATTACTTCTATGGCAATCTTCTCTCTCTCTCTCTCTCTCTTAGTTAACAGATGTTACCAAATGCCTGTTAAGAAGTTTCTCTTCGAGTCAGCGCCTCTCCATGCGATTTGTCTAAGCTCAATGAGCAGCAGCAAACATCGATTTTAGTTAATTTATCTCTTGGAATTCAAACATTTCTTTGATTGCATCTGCAGGTCCAGGATCAGGGCGTGGATCCGAATTTGCGCGATGGTGACGGTGCCACGCCACTGCATTTTGCCGCCTCGCGTGGCCATCTGTCGGTGGTGCGGTGGCTGCTCAACCACGGCGCCAAATTGTCACTGGATAAATATGGCAAATCGCCGATCAACGATGCGGCCGAGAATCAGCAGGTGGAGGTGAGTAGCGACGCTAGCTGCCAATGGGTAGAGGGACTCTAATTTAATCAACGTCTTTTTCTTCGTTGCAGTGTCTCAACGTGCTCGTGCAGCACGGCACCACCGTCGACTACAACAACAAGAACAACACACAGCGCCACAAGTCGCAGCACCAACATCAGCATCAGCAGCAACAGCAGCAGCAACAGTTGCAGCACATGAGCAGCAGCTGCAACTCGAACACGAATTCGAGCAAGCAGACGAGCCGCAGCAACACAATCAAGTCAAAGTCCTCATCCACGCTCAGCTCCGATGTGGAGCCCTTCTACTTGCATCCGCCAGCTGTGACGGCAGCAGCTGCCGCAGCGGGCGTCGGCCTGGGCGTCGGCATCACGCGCAAGAACAGCGACGCCCTGTACTCGCAGCAGTCACGCAGCTCCTCGGAGAAGCTCTACGGCTGCAATGGGGCAGCGGGCGGGGCTGGTGGTGCTGGCGGCAGCTCGAGCGCCGGCGGCGCACTGCTGCCCAACGATGGGCTCTATGTGAACCCGATGCGCAATGGGGGCATGTATGCCACGCCCTCGCCGAACGGCAGCATCTCGGGCGAGTCGTTCTTCCTGCACGATCCGCAGGAGATCATCTACAATCGGGTGCGCGATCTGTTCGTCGACTCGGACTGCAGCAGCGTGAAGCAGCACCAGATGCCGCATCCATTGCACTCGCTGCAATCGAAGGCCGGCAATGCGATCATGACTATCCAGGCCGATGTCCACTCCAGCTCGAGTGGCGCCGGCAGCGGCTCCGACGAGTCCGTCTCCATCGCGTCCAGCTTCAACTCGCCAAAGAGCAGCAGTCATCATCACAGTCACAATCATCTCCAGCATCAGCATCAGCAGCAGCAGCAGCAGCAGCATCAGCTGCGCAGCCAGAGCTTCAATAGGCATGGCAGCAGCGGCAACATCAGCACCAGCAGCAATCTAAAGAACAACAACAACAACAATAACAGCAGCAGCAACAGCGGCAATAACAACAGCAACTACAAGCAGCACAAGACCAGCAGCAGCAACATCAGCACCAATGGCAATCAGAATGGCGATCACGACTACGAGGATATATATTTGGTGCGCGAGGAGTCACGCAAGCAACATCAGCACCAGCATCAGCTGCAGCAGCAACAGCAACAGCAGCAGCAGCAGCAGCAACAACAGCAGCAACAGCTGCAGCACAAATACAGCGTGGGCAGATCGCGTTCCCGTGACAGTGGCTCCCATTCGCGTTCGGCCAGCGCCAGCTCCACGCGCAGCACCGATATTGTGCTGCAGTACAGCAATCATGTGAGTAGCGATTAAACAGGGTGACTCATGTCAGTGGATTTCATCTCTCTCTCTCTCTCTCTCTTATTCTCTGCTCCTCCTCCAGCACTTGAACAACAAGCGCAGCAATTACAACAACAGCAGCAACAACAATAATAATAACAGCAACAACAACAACACTAACAACAGCAACAACAACAACGGCAACATGAGCGTATTGAATCGCAACAAGTCGCATTCGATGATTGGCCTGCACAGCAGTAAATACGATTCGAGCCTGAAGGATAGCTACAGCGCCAAGAACGTGAATCTGAATCTGAAGAATCAGCTGCTCAATGGCGGCATCAAGAGCGACACCTACGAGAGTGTCTGCCCGCCCGAGGATGTGGCCGAGCGCACCAAGCAGACGCACAAGAACTCCATGATACGCAACAATCTGGCGGACGCTGGCCTGCTCAGCAGCAATCCCAATATATCAATGCACAGCAATAACCACAGTCACAACAACAACAACAACAACAGCAGCAGCAGCAATGGCAACATCAACATGATCAGCAACACCAACAGCGGCAGCAGCAACAGCATCAATCAAAATGGCGCCAACAACGGCAACAGCAACAACAACAACATCAATAGAAACTTGAAACGTGTCTCCTCGGCGCCGCCCATGCAGAATCTGGCCGTGGGTAAGTCAAGTGTGATGAGATGAGAGAGATCGCTGAATATATATTTCACTTGTAATTGCGATCAATTTATGAGCGATTATCTATAAATGCTAAAAACCAGATCAAATTGTTCAGGAGTATTACACTAATTGTTTATTGTTACTAGAAATCTCCTTGAGATTTACATAGAAATAGCTTTCTTTAAGTTGATTTACATTAAGTTGGCTGTGGCTTCAAATTGTAACTATCTGGCAGCACTGCATCGCATTAAGTTGGCTGCGCCTAAATCAGATCAGGATGTCCATTGATATTATATTCTCGTACTGGTCATGAAGTTTTCCCTATTGTTGTAAAGTTTATCTAAAATTATAAAAATAAAGCTATCTGATTGATCCATATATGCTTATATTTAATGTCAAACATGACATCAATAATATAGTATTAATACAATATTATTAAACTTTCTGACATGAATTAATCTTCAGATCAAACAGGTAGCTTTTATTTTGTAAACTATAGAGACAACGGAGATTTTTCCCAGATGTCCATTCCATATATATTTTGATTATTTGAAAATTTTACTGTACAGAAAAAGAGTGAGAAAGTTTAGTGAAATGTCGAAAAAATATTATTCAAATATTATCTGTGCTGCAAGTGCCGTGAATATTACGTGGTTGTTTGAGTTTCTATAGTTTTTTTTTATCTTAAAAAAAAAAAATGGTTTATATATTTATTTTAATTCTAGTATTTTTTTAATTTCATTTTTCATTTCTCTTGCTTTTGGTCTATTATACTTCTTTTTTTTTGAGCTTAAAACACCCAATTCGTTTGATATGGTTTTCATATTTTTTTTTATATAATAGTTTACTAGAGAATATCATATAGTAACAGGACAAGTTTTTTTTTTTTACTTGTTTCTAGTACAACTGTCTCACAATTCTTTAATATAAAATAAGTTATAATATCAGTCTTATAACCATACTATTCCACTCTCTCACGCGCACTCCCTTTCTCTCTCTCTCTCTCTTTCTGTCTTCATAGTCAATGGACCACCGCCGCCGCCTTTGCCGCCTCCACTGCGTGCGCCTGTGCAACGGAACAACTTGAACGCGGAGCACTCTGGCAACAACCACAACAACAGTTCGAGCAACAACTCGAACAACAATTCGAACAACAGCTCCAACAACAACTCAAACAACAGCATCTATAAGAAGAATCACTTTGGCCTCGCATCGCCAGCGGCAAATGCTCAAACCACGCCCACAAATGCCGCCTCAAGTGGTGCACATGAAGCCGTCGACTCGGACTCGGGCCTGGAGGTTGTCGAGGAGCCCAGCCTGCGTCCCTCGGAGCTGGTGCGTGGCAATCACAATCGCACCATGTCCACCATATCCGGTAAGTAATTTCGTATGCTTGCGAGTAGTAGAGGTAGAATTTGTCATCTCGCTCAGCTGGCAGTGGGCTTAGTGTCACATCAGATATTTTGGATCACTCAATTTCGAAAAAAAAAAATAATTTTCGACAATCAATTTTCATAAATCAAAAATTCAAAAAAAAAAAAAAAAACAAAACCAAACAAAAAAGAAAAAATAGAAAATTACAAAAAAAAAAATATATATATATCATCCGAGTCCAAATCAAACTGCGGCGGGTGTTGTAAACCATGAGCACGGAGGGTTCGAGTATGGATTGGTCGGATCTGGTCGATATCCAGCCGCCGAGCAGCAGCTCGGAGGAAACGACGTCCGGAAACTTGTCGCCGACCGAGTCGGAGGTGATGATACAGCCCACCGAGCAGACGTCGGCGCCCAGCTTGGAGGATCTGTCCGACAAGCTGCCAGAGAATCTGAACCTGAAGGATACCTATGTCATTTACAGCGTGGGCAACACAACGCTCTGCCTGAGCTCACTGGATACCCAATATGCCACAGAGCCCCAGCTGCAGCTGCTCGATCGCCATTTGCTGGACGTCAAGATCGCCCATCCGGAGAAGCCCCTCTGGCCAAATCCGGACATCTTGACCCTGGGCATGCGCAATGTGTTCGATGTGGAGGTGCCCTGTACCAGTTCAGCGGCCGCAGCCCCAACCGCAACCGTAGTCACATCGACCCCAAGTCGCAGATGCCACGCCAAGATGAAGTGCGTCAAGAAGCTGGGCAAGAAGAGGCGCACCAAGCAGCATTATAAATTCTGAGCCAAGCAACTTCCCCATACCAGTGCAGCACAGTTGCATCTGTTCTCGAGCTTCCTTCTCGTTCAATCAGTAAAACCGATCATTGCCCTATAGCACCATTGCATTCGTTCATCATTAGCATCAGCTCATCCTGCCAGCCAGCCACTCACTGTCGACTGTCGAGGGGGTCTTTGACATCTTTGACGAGCGGGCGAGGGGGCGCTAGATATTGATTGATCAATTAGCGACACAAACATGCCTCAAACTGGTATTGCCCAACAACCAGACTTGGCAATCTGTGCAGCTGTTGGTTAGCTTTTTGTTTGCCATTTGGCAAAGTGGCAAAGTGGCAACATAACAACAACAACAACAACAACTAAACTAACATGCAATACCCATAGAGCCATACCAACTAAAATCGAACACAGATCAATATTTTGACTCACAAGTGGCTTGCCGCGGAAATCATTTAAAGATCTTGAGTAATGTTTGCAGTGGGCATACCAGGTTTATGCAGAAGTGCAAATCATACTTGATTTACACAGTCGAGCTCATCAAAATAGTAATACAACAGCAGTAAATATTGTATAAACTAACTTAATGATAGACTCTATACTTTGAAAACTATTCGAAATGTATAGTAATAGCATATATGTATATTATAATTCATTTACGTGTTGATATAGCGATTGTAGCTTAGGTTTTATTTCTCTAAAACATGTAGTGTTTAGTTGTAATACTATTTACATAACTGCATATATAGACATATAGGTATATTATAGTTAGGTAGTTTGTGAAATCGATCAACTATTGATCTTTGTTATTTAGAACATTTTTTAAATAGACGTGATCTTGGTTAATTATGGAAGCGTGGAAGTTGTTGAATATTCTGCTCTACGAAATCTCTATCTTAGTAGAGCTGTGAGGTCAAACGAACAAATATTCGACATTTTTGCTTCTTTGATAACAGATTTTATTTTCTCAAATAATAAAAAAAAAAAAACAAGTAAGAACGTTGCAGTCGGGCGTTACCGACTGCGGAATACTCATTCACATCCCATCAACAATTTAGTAGTTAAGTTTCGTTCTAATACTGTAGAATATACAGGTTTTTCCGATTTGCCACGCCCCAACTGGGCGTAGACACCTCATTTTTGGTCAGTTTTTAGAAAGAGATAACGTTACCCTAACTGCAAAGTTTGAATGCTTACCCTAAAAAAATGTGAAAATTACAGGGTATTTTTCGATATGCCACGCCCCTAAAGAGGCGTAAAAATTATTTTTGGGGAATCGATAGAGGAGGCTACCAGTAACTCAACTATCCAAATTTGAAGCTTCTAGCTATTATACTTTAGGAGATATAAACTTTTGCGGTTTGCCACGCCCCCTGTGGGCGGACATATATCCGACAAAACTTTTTGGTCTTGGGTGATCAGTCCNTTTCAGCTTTCTAGCTCTTCAACAAACATGATTTCTGGTATATCGGAAAATGCATTTTCCGATTTGCCACGCCCCTAGTGGGCGGATCGGGAAAATTTTAACACTTTATAAATCGGAGATATACACGAGTATGTGTTCCAAATTTCAAGTCTCTAGCTTCAATAGCGCCGAAATAGATTGCGTTCATACGGACAGACGGACAGACGGACAGACGGACGGACAGCAAGACGGACATTGCACAAAACCAATATACTGATTCACTTTCGTGAATGAGTATAAAAAAAAAATTACAATAAACTTTGCCCTTGGCTACGAACGTCATGATAAAAAAATCTCCAAAACTAAAAAATAACAAAGTATAGACAAACAAATTAAATTCTAGGCAGTTGAAAGGTTTTAAAAATTTACTAAGTAGCTACAAGACATTCTTATATCAAACCTACCGACTGTGGATATACAGGAGTTAGGATCAGTTGATGTATCCTTTGTCTACGATCATGATGATGATGATCCCATGGCAGTAAGATCTGCTGAGTTGCCCTCAAAGCCGTGAAAACTCTGGTTAAAATAGTCGAAAAACCGTTCAATATACAATATTATTTTGATTGGAGCTCTCAACAGTTATAAAATCAGTGGTCTTTTTTTTCGAGACTACAAGAGTTTGAATTTTCATTTAGACTGACTGCCGCATGCCAGGCAAACGTCGCATCGAGCAATTTAAACATCAGTTTACAGAGTTGCCGAGTTTGTTAACCTGGCCAAGACAATGAATGCCAGACATTTGACATGCATTGACTTGCAATATGCATTCGTAAATGGCTTATGCATTCGCATTATGTGTATGTGTGTGTGTGTGTGTGTGTGTCTGTTTGCCAAGAGAATAAGTTGGACAAATTAAATAGACAGGCGAACAAAACTCAGTGCAAAAAGTTCACACGTTGTGAAAAAAAAGTGCAGTAGCAGGAAAAACGGAAAATCGGAGTAACGGAAAAGCATTTGAGATTGCAAAACAAAGAAGTGGAAGTTGTTAACAATCGAAAAGCAGAAAAACTAAAACAAACACTGGGAAAGTATTAGTACAAAGGACAGGGTGGGAGAGAGAGAGAGAGAGAGGGAGAGCTATAAAGAGAGAGAGAGAGGGAGAGCAATAGAGCAAGTGCAACAAGCAGTAGCTCCTGTTGCCACTTGACACTGCCAACCTGTGGCATGTCCGATCAGAAGCCGTTGCGGATCCTTTGGCGCTGTCAGCGGCCAAGGCGGAAGCACATCAGCTCGGCCATTTGACAGCGGCTGCTGCCCCGCCCCCTGCCACAGGGGGCACAATGCCATGGCAATTACGGCCTCTGCTGGCTGCATGTGGGCTGTGCCAGTCAAGCCACCCGCGCTGCTCGCGCTGCACAACTTTTACCCAAGGAAAGTGAACGTGTTTTTTGTTTTTCAATTTTTTTATTGGTTTTCGCACAGCCATTGACAAGTCTTCGCGCTGCGCCTGCCACAAGACTCGGAGTGCACACGAGTCGAGTGGCTGTTGCTGTTGTTGTTGTTGCTGTTGTTGTTGCTGTTGCTGTTGCTGTTGCTGCCGCCGCTGCTTGTGGCGCTTTGGGTGAATAACTTTGGCAATAGCTTGAACTCGCATCAGGCTGCCAGCAACGCTCGCCCGGGCAACATCGTCAACGTGCACAGCGCTCAGCTCAGCTCAGCTTCGCGACTCGAATATATATCGAATAAATCTCGGTGGATATATTTCCTTCATTCTTTATTTTTTTTTGTGTGTGTGTGTGTGCTTTATTTGATCTCTTTTATGTGAATTTGTGCAATCGCTGATCATGTGATTTGTCATCGAACTGCTGTGTGTGTGCTAACAAAACGACGACAGTTCAAAGTTCAAGCTCAGACGCCATGAATATGGCGGGCTCGATGAAAATCCATAAGAACACGCGACGCAACTATTTTACGCTGAGCTTTCAGCGTTTCGATATATTTCGTTGTAAGTACGATCCAAAAAAAAAGTACGATCCAACAGAAAATGTTTAAAGATCTATTTTGAATAGCCCAATGAAATCTAGAATTGGAGAATATATGGTGAAAAGTGTTTAGTTGATAAATGTTTAGAATTTACATACTTACATCATTACATTATGAAATAGCTCTTGATTTTTAATATCTGTGACTAAATATTGGTATCCAGTCGATTGCACTTTTCCCTCATCTGTATGCATGCCTAGCCTCCCTTGCCCCTGGCCGTTGCTCCACATTGACAATTTCACGGTGAAATTGAAACCAGTTGCTGCTGCCCAGGCTCAAACTGGACCCAGCCAAATTATTCCATTTCCAAATGGGGACCGCGGCCAGCTTCCAGTTGGACTGCTCTCAAAAAGTGGCAAGCGTCGGCGATTGCTGCAATCGATGTCGTTTTTGATTTGGCCATCGAATTGGCTAGGCCAAACAGGCCAGACCCGATGCCAATGCCGATGCCGATGCCGATACCGATTCCGATCTCAATCCCGAACACGAACCCGCTGCACTGCGTCATTAAGTGCTCCGGCCATATACGCTTTTTGCTTTTCATATACATATACATTTTATATTTATATGTATTTGTTTGCTCTGCCCCCAAGTCGATGAAACGGGTTGCTGAGCCGTGAAAGTTGCAATGCCGAGGACACACACACAGGCCGAGTGGTGCGCGGCGGCGGTGGTGGTGGCGGCCAATTAACTGACAAACATGTGCACCACTTCGCTTCGCTGACCACTAATCATGCGAGCTGTCATTTTAGTGGCTTTTCCTTAGCTGTGCTTCGAAATTTACAGTTTGTACGCGATGCTCCCAATGCTTTCCACTCGCTGACCTTTTCGCATTGAGCCGCCGCTATATGAATTTGAATTTCCATTTTATTTATTTGTTGGTTGTCTGCTAAATGCTTTGACTTGACTTGGCCAATTGTCGTGCCAACAGATAATTGAATATTAATTCAGGCAAACATTTTGAATTTGAGTTGGGACCTCGCTGAGACTCGCTGAGACTCGCTGCTTAATTAGTCCTGATTGCATTTGTGCAAGCTGAATGCCTGCGGCTGTGCGAAATCCTTGATTAACCAACTGGCCCTGCCCCTGCCCCTGCCGCCACGCCTCCACGGCCGCTGCAGCTGCTGGTTTCTGTTTGCGCTTCAATTACTGCAATTGCATTTCGGAGCACTTCATTTGATTAGGATGCGGCCGAAATCCATTAGCGCCATTCTGCTGTTTGGTGAAAGGCGTCGACACACGCTGCATACGCAATGAGTTGTATCTGCGAGTGTGTGTGTGTGTGTGCGTGTGTGTTGTTATTGTTGTTAATGCGACTCAAGCTAGCGTGACCAAAGAGCTGGGATAACTGCTAACCCACAATAAGTAGTTAACGCAGACAAGACTTAAATCTCATAAATAAATTTGTTCAATTTCAGCGAACAAGAAAGCCAAGCTCCTCAACGGCAACGGCAACAGCAACGGTACTATTGGCGCCTCTGCTGGTGCAACAACAGCAGCAGCTGTTGCCGCCGCCGCCGCTGGCAATGGTGAGCCGCACTACCAGCATGCCTCGAATGGCAGCATCTATGGCTACGCGGAGGGCCCTGGCGGCAAGCAGCGCAGCGGCGCCAGCAGCAGCAGCAGCTACCAGCCCTCGCACTATCACCAGCAGCAACACCAGCAGCAGCAKCAGCAACAGCAACAGCAACAGCAGCAGCAGCAGCAATCCATTTATTCGCCCAGCATCTATGGCGTGGGTTCATCTGCGGAGGATCACTATGAGCTGCAGCAGTCGCAGTATGGCGGCAGCTACAATGGCGAGGGCGCTGCCGTGCGTTCAGGTGGCCCCAATTTGGTCAACAAGCAGCTGGTGCTGCCGTTTGTGCCGCCCAGTTTTCCCAACAAATCACAAGACGGCGTCACGCATCTCATCAAGCCGTCCGAGTATCTGAAGAGCATCAGCGATAAGCGTTCGTGTCCATCCTCGGCCCGGTAAGTTAAGAAAGCCATGCAAAGACAAGCAGGCAAGCAGAGAAGCAGACAAGCAGACAGCCGACAGTTGCTTCAATTTAGCTGCACATCTCGTGCGGCGGCAACATAAGTAATTACCACCAAAAGTGGCAGAAGTACTGTTGCCTTAATTAAGCAGCCAGCAGACAATGCAATGCAGCTCATGCTCACGCCGATCGCTGGCTGCAGCGCGGGGCAATTAACAGCACCACTCACAAGTCAGCCACTTCCTCAGCTCAGCTCATCTCGGCTCAGCTCTGCTTGGCTCTGCTCGGCTCCAGAGTGCATGAAATTTTATGCGTGCTGCATGCCAGGCCAATTTTTGCCAGCTGCTGCGCCTGGCTAAAGTCAGTTGCAATCCGAAGATGATACTGCGCACACGACATGCTTGGCGCAGGTCTGGCTCACACTCACACACACACAGCAGACACACCCACTCGTACACACACACACACACCCACACTCACAAATACTCATTCATTCATGGATCTGGTCTCCTTGCAGCTCCACGGATACGGAGGACTACATGCAAATCCAGATCGCCCAGCAGCAGCAGCAGCATCATCACCATCACCAGCATCCGCACCAGCACCAGCATCAGCATCATTCGCATGCCTTGGGCGTAGGTGAGCAGCCGCCGTTGCCACCGCCGCCGCCACCATTGCCGCACATGATGCCGCCGCCCATGCCGATGCTGCTCTCGCCGCTGGCTGGCGATGCCACCAGCAAGTCACAGAAGCCCAAGAAGCCGCACGGCTCGACGCCGCCCAGCAGCCAGGATACGGCCACGCGCAAGCAGCACCAGCCGCTGTCCGCCATTTCCATACAGGATCTGAACAGCGTACAGGTGAGTGCCAGAGAGGGGAGGAATGGGCTGACTCAACCTTGTAGACACTTTAGGGCGTTTCGATCTAATCTAGTTAGCTGGGAGAGAGCAACAGGGATTGTTCGATATGAAAAATCCTTAGTATTCCGATTTTCATTGAGTTCACTCGTTAGCTCTAATACATTTTCATTTTTCTAAATTACAACACGAAAAATATTCCACGAAAACACAAACACAAAACACGAAACACACACGCGAATAAACCATAGTCGAATATCGCAGTATCGCAGTATCGCAATATCGAACAATCGCGGACAATCCATTGAATCGTCGAGTTGCTGTAGGTTTGGTATGAACGGCAGGATCTTAGCTTAGGCAAAGAGTAGAACGATGTCAACCTATTCTAGTTTAGATATGGCTGCAAATGCAGTTTGTGTTCAAATCCAATTGTGTGCTGATTCCGCTGCACTTTCCATACAGTTGCGCCGCACGGATACGCAGAAGGTGCCGAAACCCTATCAGATGCCCGCACGGAGTCTCAGTATGCAGTGCCTGACTACCAGTACGGATACATACTTGAAAACCGATCTGATCGCTGAGCTGAAGATCTCCAAGGACATACCCGGCATCAAGAAGATGAAGGTGGAGCAGCAGATGGCCAATCGCATCGACTCGGAGCATTATATGGAGATAACCAAGCAGTTCACTGCCAACAACTATGTGGACCAGGTGAGTCGCAGGTGTCGACTGGGTCGGCAGAGTGGGAAATGATGTGGGGGGTTGGGGACCTGGAGCTGGATTGTCATACGTATCAAAGATCTACTTGCAGATACCAGAAAAGGATCAGGCTGGCAACGTCATACCCGACTGGAAGCGCCAGATGATGGCCAAGAAGGCGGCCGAGCGCGCCAAGAAGGACTTCGAGGACCGCATGGCCCAGGAGGCCGAATCGCGCCGCCTCTCACAGATACCGCAATGGAAACGCGATCTGCTGGCGCGTCGTGAAGAAACTGAAAACAAATTGAAGTAAGTGGGCGGGCCATTACATTCGTTTGTTTTAGGGGGCCTTGTGGCGCAGCTGCAGCGGACTCCACACATCACACACCACACACCACACCTCCACACCACTCTCACTCTCTGATCCGTCGCCATCTCGCCATCTGTGCCATTTTGCAGAGCGGCCATCTACACGCCCAAGGTGGAGGAGAATAACCGTGTCGCGGACACCTGGCGCCTCAAGAACCGCGCCATGTCCATCGACAACATCAATCTGGCCAGCTGCAATGTGGAGCACTACTACCAGCAGGTGCAGGTGATGCCGACGCCAGCTAGTGCCCAGTTCAACAAGGAGAACCATAGCGATGGCGCCACTGCTGGCAAAGCCAACGATTCAGAGCAACAGCAGCAACAACAACAGCAACAACAGCAACAGCAACAGCAACAACAGCAGATGAAGCAGGATGCACTTGATCAAAACGATGACGATCAGGACGACAGCGACAACATCATTCCATGGCGGGCACAGTTGCGCAAGACCAACAGTCGCCTGAGCTTGATCTAAGCTGCAGCCGAATACGCGTTTAAGTCTCTTGTAGTGCATTTTTTTTTTCAAATCATCAAATTTTTTTTTTGTTTTTTTTTTTTTACTCCAACATGAAAATACTTAACTTAACGAACGTGCAATCACACATGCTAAGGGATATATACGTATTTAATGGATATATATCATAATTATAAGAAATCTATATTTGTAATCTGGTGAAGAGATCGATGGGCTCCAGAGGAGTGCTGTGCGATTCTTTAAACCTGCTCCAAATCCAAGGCAAGCTTTAGATCAAAACAAAATTGAGAAAAATCATTTAAAAAAAAAAAAAAGAAGTGAAGAAAAGAGAAGAAACATATATACATGATTATGGCATTGTATATGTACTATATAGAAATGATTAATATACGCATACAACTTTTTTTTTTATTGTTATTCCTATGTTAAAAAAAAAAACGATAAACAATCGAGCGATCGGAATCGGTTTGCATGCATATTCATAATTATTTAAACTTTTGCAGTAAATTCCATTTGGGTGTTGCGCGAGTCTCGATTAACGATTATCGACTATCAATTAACGATTATCGATTATTATAATACATTAACGATTTTATCTTACTATCGAATTAATACATAATTACCTATTTTAAGCTTCAATTTTTTTTTATCATTGTTATTTGTTTTTATACTTGGCTCAATAATATGATTAAAATTTTACTATACATATTAGGCATAACGGAATTTTTTATTTAGTGGCGGTTAAAAACAACTTGATAAATAGGATTGATATGAGCGGTAAGAGCTCTGTAGTCAAGACTGCTCGATTGGGAACACCGCTAAAAAAATACAGACAAGCTATCGATTTTTATCGATAAGCTTATGCATATATATAATTTGGATGGACAGACGGGCGGTTAAATATGCTGAGGGCTATTTCGACCCAGCTTGTTCTCTTGATAAACAAAATAATGATTTTTTATGGGATCTGTCAAACTTCCATCTGCATGTTTCATACATTTTCACAAAATCAATATGCCCCGACCTTCCAGTTTTAATAGGCTTAATGTCTTTTTCAATGGGAATGCTCATTTTGTTTTCTTTTTGTCTGAATATTATTTCCTCTATGTTATTTATGAGTGTGTTATATCTAGTCTAAGAAAAATACTTTCCAATCTGATAATTTGACGAAATACCTAATTTATAAATATTCATATACTTTTTAACTGATCGTCGTATCACATTGAGTGAGTTAGGTAAGCAAATTATTTATAAGCAAGTTAAATAGAATATTTTCTCTTACGGGTTTTCCCACCTAGTGCTGCACAGTGGTGTAAATGCCCAAAATATTGACAGAAATTAGTGATATATGAAAATAGATATGCCGTCGAAGCCAAACTTTAGATAGATCGAAAAACGTGTATTTTTACTTTTTTATAGAAGTAAATTTATATTTTTAAATTCTATAAAGGGACAACATGAAAATATATTTCTTGAATTTTCGTCTTTGGACCATTGTAGGCTGTAAGGAGATAATGTCAGTTGTCAATCATTGATATCGGAGCGTATTCTCAATCAGGTTGAAATTAAATTTGTAGGCAGTCGAAATTGATTAATTGGGCAGACTTTGAGTGATAAATTATTGCGGTTGGCCCGATGCCTATGCCCATTGTGCTATTGATAAAGAGAGTGTGCGAAATGTTGATTTTGATAAAACTGGTCATAGTTAAATCGGGCCCGAGCATGATAGATCGGGCAAACAGGGCAATTTTTATAAAAGTGAAGAGTCTTCGGTATCATCGATCATAGAATAAACAACGTTTTGATTGTCGACCATGCGAAGCGTTACTATTTGTCTCTTGCTGCTCACCGCGGCCAGCTGCCTGATCGGCTCGAGTGTATGTTAACAACAGGCGATAAGAAGCACTTCGATTGGTAGTTGCCAATAATTAAATTGATCTGTATCCTCTTCTAGGGCAAGCAAGCAGCAACAGCAGGGGCCGAGCTGGTTAATTTCGAGGCTGTTGATTTGGCAAATTTGATCGATGAGCTGGATGACGATTATGTGGACGTTGAGGAGTCCAGCTTTATCAGCTCGGTGCACGATGCCCTCAAGGTGGTGCTGAAAACACTGCGCGGTGTCAACTGCACCATCAAGGAGGTTGCCGAGATACTGAATGCCACCGCCAAGTATGTGGACACTATCGATGCCTGCGGGGTGACCCTGACCAAGGATGTGGCTGCTATTGTCAGGAACTGCAAGACCATCATCGCCATCTGCAATGACATCATCAATATGCAAAGCAAGCTATGTGCCATCCCGGTTGAGCCCAAGCCCAATGCGCCGTCCCCCAAGAAGTGCTCCTGGCAGCTGCTCAAGGCAGTCGTAAGGCTGGCCAGGACAATCAGAGCCACCCGCAGGCAGATCGCCAGACTGCCCTCCGACACTAGCTCCTGCTTTGTCAATGCCACCAGCGAGGTGAAGGCCAGCTACGACAGCTTTGTGCCCAATATCAATGCCTGCTTTGATTAATTGTGGAAAATGTAATTAAAGTTTTGTGCAAGAGGAAAATAAAATTTCTATAGCTGCTGATTCATATAAATAAACTGCGTGCTATTCAGTCCAAGGTGCAGAGGAAGTCAACTGGGTGCACTTGGTTTATGTGTGAGCATCAGGCACATTGAGCGTGAAGTTAAGAGATAAAGCTCAAGAGCCGACAAACAAATATATCGAGAGATTAGATCAGCTAAACAAATAGCCTAAGATACAGCTCAAAGGTCTGTTAGACCCACACACCTACTGGACCGAGTCTTCAAATCCTGCCCTGTGCATTACACCCAATAGCTCCTCAACTTTGATACTAACATTCTCTTTCTTATCGATTATAATATCATATCTGACTGTTAACCATATATGGCTAAATCAATGAAGGTCAAGTAGGTCAATGGAATACTAGAAGTAAAAACTTTGGAGATTCATATTATATTAACA